AAACAAACACAAAGACACAAAGACACAAAACAAACACAAAGCAACACAAAGACACAAAACAACCACAGACCTGTGTAGGAAGTTGTTGGTCTGTCACATTGTTTGATTGTGACCTTGATGCTGGAGAAACAAGAAGATGAAAGACGAGAAAGGTAAAGGAGGTGAAGACAGAACGAAGTGTGGTCTGAGCTCCTGTCCTGTTTCTTCTTCAGTGGTGTACCTGTGCTGTTCCTGGGACATCTTGAGGAGTCTGATGGTGCAGTTCTGGAAGGACGGGGGGGATTTGAAGGAATATGCCTTCTTCTTCATTGATCTGTTTGCTGAGGGTTTGGGGGGGCGGGGCCCTGTCAGACCCTGGTACAGAGGCGACCAGGACGACTTCACGGCCCGACTCGCCTTCAGGGTGAGACAGTGTTGATATAAACAAGTGTGAGGTTGTTGTTTATTGTCACTTATCTTCTGCCTGTTGTTGTTGTCAGAGTGTGAAGGTGTTGACGTACCTGGAGCCTCAGAATCCAGAATATCTGCAGTTTGTTGAAACTCTGAAGAGCGACGCAAAGAAATTATTCAACTTCACCATCGAAGACTCTCTGGTACCAAACACACAGTGATGCTGTCGTTAGCAACGTTAGCGCTAACATGAGATCCGAGACTTGTTCTTTGTGTTCTGAGTTTTTTTATGTGAAGCAGAGGTAAATCAAGAATAATCTCAAACATCTGATGGTTCCTGCTTCTTCACTTCATGGTTTGCATGTGAGGGAAAAAAACTTGAAGAAAGCGTTTCCTGATTGATTGACCTAAAATGGAAGAATTTCTAAATGAACAGAAGAACAAATTTTTTGGATGGTACATGCCTTCAAATCATAACATGGCGTCACATCAGAACGAGAGTTTAAACATGTCAATATGAATATTTACATGATTTCCCTCTGGGATCAGTAAAGTATTTCTGAATCTAATGTGGTTCTCTTTCAGTACAACCTGATTGCTGGAGGCTTCCATGATGGAGTGATGCTCTACTCTCACGCTCTGAATGAGACTCTGAGCGAGCACAGAGGACCGGGGGTTGTCCTGAGGCCGAAACAAGACTTGGTGACCAGGAGGATGTGGAACAGAACATTCCAAGGTGAGAACAGATGTTCGTGATGTTTCTCATGCGTCTGTTCTGGAAACGTTTCAGAGCCGCATGGGAACCTTGAGCTCAGCTATCGGCCAATCAAAGCACAGAGCTGGATGAGAAAAGTCAAGATAAAAAATGATACAAAACCACAGAACATAAATATCTCACAGTGCAGAAAAATAAAACCACAGAGCAACAAATCATAATACACATTAGCTCAAGAGAGAGAGACCAGAGGCCTGAAGTGTGAAGCAGGATTTGCAGTTGTTCAGGTAACTTCATGGTTTTCAGTCCTGTGAAGCTCGTTCACGTGTAATCACCTCGGTACCTAAACGGCTACAGTGTCTCAGAGTTTGGTCCTTGTCTTTAAGATGTCATGTCTGAGAATAGAGCGCCCCCTGTGGGTTTACTGTCCTGGTTGGTGGTTTTGGTCTCAAACGTCCGGTCTCCATGTTCCCATCATCACATCCAGCTGGTGCACATTTACACTGCAGCACTACGCGTGCATGTGTGTGTGTGTGTGTGTGTGTGTGTGTGTGTGTAGAAAATTACCAGAAAGGAAATGCCAGTCTGTCTTTCTCATGGTGACCTCACAGAGCACGGAGATTCCTGATTGGTAGGTTGGTTAGTTAAGAGGCGAGTGATTGATTGTTGGAGTGAAGAGAGAAGCTCCCCCCCCCCCACTATAACTGTGCCCCCTACAGGACGTTGGAGTGCACGTCTCCGTCCAACTGCTCATCATTTTCCACATCATTTTAGGAAACGTGTTTTCTATTTTTGCGTCAGGTCATTTGAGCTCAAATGAAATTTAAACCTGAGCTTCAGCAGACGATGGAGGATCTCTGCTGCTCTCAAGCTCGTCTCTGTCTCCAACAATCACTGACCTGAAGAGCAGCTGATGTTTGTCCACTCAGGTTCGAGTCGGGTCAGTCTGTTTCACCACCGAGTTTAAAAGCCAGAAAAAGAGAAAGAAAGAAAAACAGCCTGTGATTCTTCAGCGGAGACGTTTATCCTGACCCAAAGTTTATCGACTGTAAAAACGTCTCCATCCATCAGACACACGTGTTGTTTTAAACATGAAATCAGTCATTTGGTTTTTAAGAAAATAACTTTTCGTTGCTTGAGTTTGTGAAACGTTTTGAAGAAAAACAGATGAGACATTTCATCATGTGGACGGAAAAATACAGAACAGACTGAGGCAGTAAAACTGTTAGAGACAGATCACTGAGCTTCCACAAACACAGACTGAAGCAGAACAACAAATACCAGACGGGGTGAGACTAACAGGACAAAAGGAAACTGGACAGGAGGGACGAGACAGGATGTCCTGATGGTCTTGGTAGTCTGGGATGTTGGTCCTGGGTTTGTTGTGTAAAGGTCCAGCTGCTCTTTGTTCTTTCAAATAAAGATATTTGACACAAAAAAGACACGACAGGACTGAATCAAACAACAAAAGACTCACAGCAGAAAACAAGACAGAAGAAGACCTGATATGACAAGAGGACAGTTGGGAGTCAACAGACTAAAGGTGTCACTCTCAGTTAGCTGCACATGGTCTTCATAGGCTCCAGGTGTGGAAAACAAACGTCCATCACAGAAAGTGACAGGCTGACTGCTGAGCTCAGCTGGAGAAGACCGACTAATGAGATCAGAGCCACAGCTGAGATTTACTGCACGACAAAGTGACACAAACGACTGTGATGTTTTATACTCACGTCAAAGAGACGACAGAAACTATACATATTCAAATCATTTGAATGTTCATCCTTTGTGTTTATTATTCAGAAATATATATATTAGCATAACAACTGACACAGGGAATATATATATATATATATATAATATCAGGATTTGTTTCTTGACTGTTGAAACTAGACAAACCAGCGATATCATCACAATAAACAAGAGTTCTTATCAAAATGTTTCCGTGTCAGTTGTTATGCTAAGCTAACATAGCTGTTACCCAGCATTGCACAACAAGGTGTAAAAGAAACAGTCGTTCTTCACATTGATCTTAAATGTATCCCCTGTTTCCAGTTCTTATGCTAAACTATTTCCACTGTATACAGTTGTAACTAAGCTTAGTTAGATGTTCCCACCTGTTTCCAGCGTTAGCTAGGTCAGCTATTTCCCATGTACACAGTTGTTATGCTAAGCTAAGTTAGACGTCTGTACGATGGTGATCAACATATTGCACATTTTAAACCTACTGGTTCTTAATGAAACGTTTCGTGTTTGTGACAAAGAATAAAATCAGTTTGTTGTGAGTTCAGTAGTAAAATAAATCTGAAATCATTCTTCAGGATGTGACCTCCGACCCTGACGGCTCTCAGCGGACTCTCGTCATTTACTTAAAGCTGACAGTCTGTTTTTACGAGCAGCCCACCCCCAGCCTCCAGAGGGAGCTGGGTACAACCAGCTTCATACTTTGTTCCTGCTACAGGAAACTAATGTCACCATTCTGACATCGGGGTCAAAGGTCAAAGTGAGTCAGCAAACCTGAGTTTGAAGAAAAACTCAACTGATTCACTGGTTCACAGTCGTATTGATCTTCTGAACGACTCGACTCCTGATCAATCTCCTAATCAATGACTTCTCCAATATGTTGATTGTTTCTCCAGTTTGACCTCTTGACCCCCCCGCCCCCGCCCAGCCCCCATCACATATGCTTCTGAGTGGAGAAACGAGTTTATTACAGAAGATGAGATGAAAAGAGAGAGAGGCAGAATTCTAGATCCACACACACACACTTTTTCTTTGATTGTGTTGGCCACGCCCCCAGACTTTTAATAGGCTTCTTGTTTTAATTTGAGGAAACTCTAACATCACAGTCACGGTGACGACTCCTCACACTAATTGAATGTGTTTAGTGAAGAAGATGATGTGTGTGTGTGTCTGTAGGAGTGACTGGTTTGGTGGAGATGGACGAGGTTGGGGACAGAGAGATTGACTTTGCCGTTTGGGACATGACGGACGTCGACTCTGGAGAGTTTCAGGTAGAAATACCTGATCACACCTGGAAAGAATACTGTGATGTCACCACGACCAGACAAGAAGTTAAACCACTTTCACTCCTGTGTGTGTGTGTGTGTGTGTGTGTGTGTGTGTGTGTGTGTGTGTGTGTGTGTGTTCAGGTGGTGTGTGTGTACAACAGCAGTATGAAACAGCTGCTCATGCAGAGTGGGCGGAGCTTCCAGTGGCCAGGTGGAGCTCCTCCTCCAAATGTCCCGGAGTGTGGCTTCAAGAACGACAAACCATCCTGCCTCGCACGTACGAGCACACGCCTCCACAGAGATCCACAATAACACCCCCACCCCGCTACTACCTCAATCTCTGATTCGCCTCCCATCTCCTCTTCAGGTACAGTTTCGATGCATCAGATGGTTGCCATAGTGATGTGCTTCGTCTTTATCATCATCGTTACGGTGACCGTCTTCATCTACAGGTGAAACACACACTCATGTTTGTTCCGTACTGATGAGGACCCTTATTGACGTCTTTTTGAAGGAGCTCAGTCCCAAAATTGAAAACAAGTCCTCACTTTATGAAACGAGACCGTTTTTTTGCATAATCCTGCAGACAGACAAATGGACAATTAACATAACCTCCTCAACGAAATAAAATCTAATAAGATCAGTGAAGTACAGAAGAAGAACCGGACCTTTTGACTGTCTCTTTCTCTGTCTCAACTCAAACACACCTGTCTTCCTGTTATTTGAACAGGAAGTTGAAGCTGGAGAGTGAGCTGGCAGCTCAGCTGTGGAGAGTTTCCTGGGACAATGTCCAGATGAGCAACCTGGATAAAGTCCTGAAGAGAGCCTGCAGCCGACTCACCATGTCTCTGGTAACAAGATTAAACACAAGTTTAAAACGTTCTCCATTTTCACACGCGAACATCAAACTCACATTAATCAAGCTGCTGATTTTAGATCAGAAAGTTTCAGTTTCTTCTTTATCGAAGGGAAGAGGACCAAGGATAGAGCCTAGTGGGACACCCTTTTTACATTTCATGGCACTCAATCTTGAAATCACTAGAAACTACTGCTTGGTTATTTCAGGTCTGTGGGTTTGTGACGATTCTCTTTTCATGGAACCATCAAACTCAGTTTAATGAAACTGTTGATTTATTATCTATTGACTCATTCTTTCTCTGTAGAAAGGATCCAACTGTGGCTCTCTCATGACCATGGAGGGAAACTTCCAGATCTACACCAAAACTGGATACTACAAGGTGTGACACTGCCTTACACCACCCCCTCCTCTTACATCCAACACAAAGTATAATGTCATGGCGGATTGAGTGATGTGATAATCTTGCTGATTTTGTCTTCTGCAGGGAAATCTAGCTGCCATCAAATATATCAACAAGAAACGTATTGAACTGACCAGGAAGGTTCTGTTTGAACTGAAACACGTAAGAAATCAATCTCACGATCGACTAACCTGCATAACCATGGACCTCCGTAACCATGACCACTGACCAACCTAGGTGCTTACTTTCCTAACTAGTGATGTACTGCTCCCTCTACCTACTGACCTGATCATCTACTGTCCATCTTTATATCTACCACTCACCTACTGAATGACACATCTGTTTCTACCAGTGAACCCACCTACTTTTAATGAACTACCTGCTAACCATACTTTTGGGGGCATCAGTACTTTCTTTGTAAGATGCTAATGGACTCGGTGGAAGTTGTAGCTTCTTACTTACCCACTTGTCTACCTGACGACCCAACCAGCCTATCAAACAACTGACATTGATGCTCAATGCTTTGAATTTGGGATTTTGATGGTTTTGAACATGCAGTCTCTGTTCCTGCAGATGCGTGATGTCCAGAATGAGCACCTGACTCACTTCATCGGCGCCTGCATTGACGCACCGAACATGTGCATCATCACAGAATACTGTCCCAGAGGCAGTCTACAGGTACTGCAACAACCCAACTCCATACTCCCCATGAACCCTGTATACCTGACTATCAGTCCATCTGTACTCCTCTATACCCGTTAACCCTCTGTATCCCTCTATCAACCAGCAGGTGCCCCTCACTACCCCTCCGTCAACCCTTCATTAATCTGTATACCCCTCCATCAGCCCTTTATACCCCTCTAGACCACTTTATACCCTCGATCATCCCATTTACTGTATACCCCTCTCTCTACCCATTCATTAGTATACCCCTCTATCAACCCTCTCATTAACTCATCGAGCGACAGCACTCTCTATCCATTATCACATTGACTTTATCAGCAGTCAGTCAGCTCCATGTGTTTTTGCTGGAGTCGCCTTACGTTCCTTCAGACAGATGTTCTCTCCACCTCCCAGTTATACCTATCTGTCAGTACTGTAGCTTAGCAACCTCCTGGTACTGTAACCTAGCAACATGTCAGCCTGCTGTAGGTGGATGTGGGCGGTGTGGGTTGGGTTGTTGCCAGATGACCGCTGGATCTCACAGGGTGATTTCAACAAAGAGCAGCTCAGGCGCTTTGAGTTATTTTGTGCTCTGAGTGGAGGAAGATGTTTTCACAGCAGCAGAGTCAGTTATATCTCCACAGACAGTGTTTTCTCATTTAAACTCAATGTGTGATTATCTAAAGACAACATGTCACTACCAGCTAAAACCTTTCAGACACATAGAGTTTAATAGAAATAAACTTGACAAAGCAAAATCTGTCGAAGTCTTCAGGACATAATATATGATATGTGTGATATAAAAAAGATTATACTACAGAACACCAGAAGAAAGATACAGCTTAATTATAAAAACACACAACTAATGTGTCTGCATTCAAAGAAAACTATTACCCGGTTTCCCAACAGATATTTTGACATGTCTCAGGTAATAAAATATAAAATGAGTGACTGTGTCTCAGTGACACCTTTCAGTGCACAATGTCATAAAAGAACATTTAGATCATAAGACTGAAGAGCGTAGTGCTGCGTTGGTCGTTTTACTTGAAAACGTCCTGCAGTACAACTGTCAGCGTTCTATCACTATGTTCAGTATATTATGGTTTGTGCCTCAACATGAACATATGAGCAACATTGTACTGGTGTAGCTGGTGGAGGATTGTTGTCTCTGTCACTTGTGGGAACAATTAACTCATTGTATTATTTCTATGACGAGGTTCAGACTGGATGTCAGGGTTAGTTTGGAACCAGGTTCATGTTGAGGTCCAGCTAATGCTTTAGGTGAGTGATGGTCCTCACATGTGTAGAAAGACAGATGTGTGTGTGTGTGTGTTTTCCCTCCAGGACCTGATGGAGAGTGACAGCATCACGTTGGACTGGATGTTCAGATACTCTCTCATCACTGACATCGTCAAGGTAACGACCCCGTCACCACGGTAGGGCCGAGCTGTGGTGGGCAGAGTTAACAGACACTACCATTGTTTCCATGGAAGCAGTGACACTGACTTCACCTTTTCATTTGGACACCCGGGGGTTCTAAAGCTACAGCGTGTTCCCCTGTCAATCAAAGAGTGAGGGTCTCTATGATAAGTCAAGTCTTTCAGAGAGACAAAATATCAACAGATGACGAACACGTGCACAGATCACATTCAGAGTCCAAATTTCAAAATGGTCTCAAATCCTTTCTGATGTTTTTCAGCTGTAGACAGGAAGTTATTTCATCCAGCTGCTGAACGTGAGCGAACCGAAGGATTTCACAAAACTCCCTCATAATCGACTTTGAGACAAATGAAAGAAAAGTAAAAGTAAAGTTCACCACCAGCATTTAAAGGTTCAGTCGATGGGATTTAGTGACGTCTAGTGGTAAAGTTGCAGATTACAACTAACTGAGTTCAGTGTGTGTTCACTCGTTATACTGATGACCAACATTTGCTCAGCTGCTGTGAAGTCGAGTCAGTGTTAAAGATTTTTCTTTGTGAAGGGGATGGCCTTCCTCCACAACAGCGTCATCGTCTCCCACGGCAACCTGAAGTCTTCAAACTGTGTGGTCGACAGTCGCTTCGTCCTGAAGATCACGGACTACGGACTGCAGAGTCTCCGCACCTGCTGCTGCCCCGAGGACACACACGCTTATTACGCACGTATGACAAACACACAAGCACACACACACATATATGCTATTTATGTTTGCCTACCTGTCAATCAGCAGTCACCTCTGCCTGTGTGACATCATCATAGGGGTGTGGTTTAAAATTGAAACATCAGGTGAGTTTTACTGCAGGTTTTAGCGTGTTCATGATCACATTTCAAAATAAGAGCACACAATATCTACATGTATCCTCTTTTCTGATCTGTTGAGATGAATCTTCTGTTTTTCATCAGAAGTGAATCTTCGTGAATCTTCGACAGAATCCTGAGGAGAACTTCACTCAACACAGTTCATCCTCCTGGAATATTTTTCACTCTCACATCTTTTCTTCTTTTAACCTGTTGATTGTTTTAGATGTGGTTTGAAGTCAGAGGTGTTTCAGTGAAAGAATCTCGTCTCAGTTTAATTAGAACTGATACAGTCAGTAGAAATTCCAGAGCCTGTACTTTTACTGGAGTAATGAGTGATCAGTCCTGTCATCTACATGGACCCCCCCCCCTCCCCTGCAGGTAAACTGTGGACTGCTCCAGAAGTGCTGAGGTCCGACTGCCCCCTCCCCCGGGGGACTCAGAAGGGAGACGTCTACAGCTTCGGGATCATCCTGCAGGAAGTGGCTCTGCTGAGAGGAGTTTTCTACCTCGACACTCAAACCCTGACTCCTAAAGGTCAGAGGTCGTCAGGAGACAGATATAAACAGATAGATAGATAAACAGATAGATAGATAGACTGACAGATAGATAGATAAATAGATGGATAGATAGA